GTTGAGACAGTGTAAAAACCAAATCATCCGCAAAGGCTTTAAGTTTATATTCTTTAGAAGAAATTCTTAGGCCTTTAATCAATGTAGAATCTCTAATTCTAGATAATAAAATTTCCAGTGATAACACAAATAATAAAGGGGAGAGTGGACAGCCTTGTCTAGTTCCTTTTTGTATCTCTATAGGCTCTGTCAAGTCTCCGTATATTTCGTTTTGTTCTATATAGTTGGCCATATGCTGATTTAACCCAAATATATGATTAGAATGCTAAGCATCAAGTTTAGCCATATGGTTGTCACTGACAATAATCACAGGTTTTCAGTATAAGAAAATATTGCTTCAAAATGAATACAGATAGTCCACAACTTATGACCGCAATTGAGCCCAAAATATTTGTTGCTAAGCAAGCCAGTTAAGTGAGTTTTGTTACATTTTATGATCTTTTTTGCCATGGTTAAGCGAATCACTGCAGTTAAGTGAATCATATGGTCATTAAGTGAATCTGGCTTCCCCCCATTGACTTTGCTTCTCGGAACCCGGCTGGGAAGGTTAAAAATGGTGATCACCTGGATCCCCCCCTCCAACAGTGCAGCTATTATAAATACATGCCAGTTGCCAAGCCCCCAAATTCTGATTATGTGACCATGTGAATGCTGCAATGGTTATAAGTGCAAAAACTAGTTATAAGTCACTTTTCAGTACTGTAGTAACTTTGAACGATCACTAAACAAATGGTAATAAGTCAAGGACTACCTGTATAAATATCAGTGTATTAATTTCTAAATATATACTAACTATATATACTAAATATATACTAACCGTATGTTTAGGTGTGTGTCTTGTGTGTTTCACTTTAAGAGCGGGCAACTAAATTTCATTTTTGATGTTTGCCATTGTGACCGCAGTAAAAAAAATGACAATAAAGGTTATCTTATCACCATTAGTATGTAAACTGAAATGAATAAAGCACAGATAAAAACCCCAAAATGAATGATTAAATGAAAAGAGAAATAACCAGCAGACCTGTGGCTCTGAGTACAAACACTATCTTGGTTATTCCCCCATGCCTCTGAGTGGAATGTATATTATGGGGTAAAGAAATGTGCATGCTGTCATTTACCAAAGTAACATGTTAAGTTGTGGGGAGATAGTTTGCCTAATGCTAAGTTAGTCATTCTTAATCACATCACCACAAACAAAACTTTTCTTTTGAGTCAAATGGGTTTAGCCAATTTCTTTAAAACTGTGTGGTTTTATTAGAAATACATCTTCGGTGATTAACAATAAACAGTTCTTGTGTCAGTATAAAACAAATATAAGAAAAAATGGCCTTAAAATGTTTTCTTTTTTAAGAATGGTTGTTAGACTTTATCACCAGACCTGCTGATTTATGAGGACATAAAAAACTGAAAATGAATTGTCTATGAAACTGAGGTTGTACATATACCTTTCTCTAATTATTTTGCATGCCAACTCTAAAGAAGCACAAGAACTTATAATATTGATATAACAGCAGAGTGCCAATGAACGCAACCTAAATGTTGTACAGAAGAATTATTTGTAATTGTATATTTACAATTAGAGGAAGATTCATTTTCCAGTAAGTGCAGGTTGTTATATTCATTTCCAGTAAATTTCAGCCAATAAAATCCTAAAAGATTTTGGATCCATGGATAATATAAACAGATTTACAGCTGATGTTTCATTAAACGCCTCAACATTTTATAAGTAGTTAATTTGGTGACAAAAAAACCACTCCAAGCAAATACAAACATTGTTCAAATGGAACTTGAAGTAGTGCAGTAGTTGTAGCTCTGCCTGTTATCACATAGCATGTTGTAGAGAAAACAAAAGACCCAATGTTAAAGCAATTTATTATCCGGTGATGAAAGATACCACATGACAAGGTTTTTTAAAAATAATGTTTTAGGGGGACTCATTTTAGACGATCTAATACATGTGAAAAGCAATTACGGTAAATTACATGAATTTTGATTGAAAACGGAAGTATTTTCAAGAACATTTAAAGACATACTCTTCCACATAAAAAATTTATAAATATTCAGTATTTTCTATAATTCTGACAAATGGCACATGCTAGCAGTATCTCTAGTGATATGGACAGAAAAATTAAGAACGTCTGAAACTGTTCAATATTTCCAGCATTACAGCAATTTTCTATTTCACCGCATTTTTAGAACTAATGGTTTATATCTAGCATTTTTTTCAATTCTTGAAAAAGATATTCCTGTCTATATTCACAGACATTAGAACTATGGAAGCATTTCCTATGACACCCTATGGAAACAAAAGCTGGACTTTTGAAGAAGCAGGATAAAAAGACTTTGAATATGGTGTAGGAGCAAATTCTTTAAAAATCAAGTAGTGCTTGAATTACAACCACAATTGAGCCCAAAATTTCTGATGTTGAGACATTTGTTAAGTGAGTTTTACCCCATTTTACAACCTGTCTTGCCACAGTTGTTAACTGAATCACTGCAGTTATTAAGTTAGTAACACTATTGTTAAGTGAATCTTGTTTCCCCACTGACTTTGCTTGTCAGGTCTGAAAAGGAGATCACATGGAACACTGCAACCTTCATAAATATGAGTCAGTTGTGAAGCATCTGAATTTTGATCACAAACCCACGATCAAAGTCAGTCTTTTCAGTGCCATTGTAAGTTTGAATGGTCACTAAATGAACTGTTGTAAGAAGGGGACTATCTGTACAGCCAAGGAAACAAATGAATAGAACAAAAGAGCCAAACTCAAATGACCAAGCTCAAATTATAATTTGGTCATATTAAATGAAGCCAAACTTTGTCCATAAAGTTGGGAAAGGTGGAGGAGAGGAGAACTTGATTACAATAGTGATGAATGAGCTGTTGAGAGAGCCAAAAGGCCAAGTTGCATCCTGAAAAGGGGCAAGTTATTTATCACCAAGCATCAATCCCAGCTTTTGGTATATGATCAAGTTTGCTCTTTTCTTATCTCTAGTTTGGACAGATTGACAGCCTTTCCATGATTTCAATAATAAAAGCTTGTTTAATATCACATTGAGCAATGTATGGGCCCATATTTGCATAAAGCTGAAAGGATAAAACTGGAACATAGTCCTGTGGTAATAAGTGTTATTGCACAAACCAAGGCAAAGTGATGTTTGAGTCCAACTGGTACCTGCAGTTCCAATTCTTTACTTAGCTACAGTAAAAAAAAAAAGAATTGCAAATTAGAAGATCACTAAGATACATTTCGTTCAAAACAGATAACACATAACTTTATCATATTTATTGTGAAGTGTATCTGAACACCCACATATGTTTAACTTAAATATTTTAATCTAACAATCCTTTCACACTTTCCATTTTCAAGAGTTCTTTGCAACAATCTCTTTTATGGCATAAATTTGTATAAAACTATACAGTTGTCACTGAGCTTTATTCCTAAATATGAATGGCTGCAGCATTAAGAATTCTGCTCCACAGCAATAGAATAATTTATAAGTGTAATTGGATGAAAATATTTATCTTTTTATTTTGAACTCAAAGTTACGTTTAATACTTTAAACAATACATTTCATATTTAAGACTGTGTTCACTAGTACTGATGATGTTATCTAGTCAATTAGTGAAACACCTACTGGGTGAATAAAATGTAATTGTTTTAGCAAAATTTAGATTGATAAGCAACTTTTTTTAATTGGCTAGAACTATGTATGGACTAGAATAAAATAAACATTTCAAAATAATTATAGAAGTATATATTTGAAGAAAAACCAAAGCATAGAAGAAATATGAATGTACCATTTTATATTTCATGCTCTTCCAATAGCATACATCTAGATTATTCTGAGAACATGGAGCTTCTATTTCAGTTTCTTTCAGGCAGTTCACTGAAAAAAAAGCTAAGAGAAGCAAAAAGAAAGACAGTTTAAATGCAGCACTCAGAGAACAGGTTATTCTTAGACTATAAGCATTACTTTACTTTATGAAGGTATCTCCCTAATGCTTCCTTTACTATGTAACATTTTCTCGCCAAGTTTTTATGAATCAACACTGTCACTTTTTAATTCCTTTTCAATAATAATCACATACATTTTTGGCAATGGATCATTATTTCTGGACTTTGCAAGACAACAAGGATTTTTCCATCACTTTCTGAGGGACGGTAATACCGGCAGTGCAGTGGTAATAATGCTTTAAAACAGGTAATGCACTTAGGATCAGGTCTCATGTAAATGAGGACAGAAGAATCAGTTGCTAAATACTCAGGAACTTCCAAATCTACTTCATCTGTAATCACCAGTGCCTATGGAAAAAGAAAAAATGTATAATGAAAATGACATAAGTTATAGTAATATCTAATTTATATTATAATCCTATTTAGGGAATGGTACTATCTTACTGAAAAGTCTCAAAGTTAGCCCTATTATTCCTATACAGGTAGTCTTCAAATTATGATCCACTATTGAGCCCAAAATTTCCATTGCTAAGCAAGGCAGTTGAATTTTGTCCCATTTTAGCACCCTTTTTGCCACAGTTAAGTTAATCAATCCAACTGTTAAGTAAATCACGTGGTCATTAAGCAAGTCTGGCTTCGTCCATTGACTTTGCTTGTTGGAAGGCAGCTGAAGAGATTAAGAAATGATGATCACATGACCCCAAGATAGTCATAAATATAAGTCAATTGCCAAGTGCCCAAATTCTGATCAAGTGAGTATAGGGATGCTGCTATGAACCTAAATGTGAAAAATGGTCATAAGTTACTTTCTTCAGTGCCTTTGAAACTTTGAACAGTCAATAAATAAATGGTTGTAAGCTGAGAATTACCTGTATAACTATCAGTGTTTTTTTTCACCCTCTCCTTAATACAGGTAGTCCTCAACTTACAACCACAATTGAGCCCAAAATTTCTGTTACTAAGTGAGACAGTTGTTGAGTGAGTTTTGACCTATTTTACCTTTCTTACCAGAGTTAAATAAATCACTGCAGTTGTTACTAACACGGATGTTAAGTGAATCTAGCTTTCCCAGAGTTTGCTTGTCAGAAGTTTGCAAAACATAATCACATGACCCCAGGACACTGCATAGTCATAAATATGAGTCAGTTGCCAAGTGTCTGAATTTGGATCATGTGATCATGGAGATTCTGCTACAGGAGTGTGAAAAACAATCATAAGTCACTTTTTCAGTGCCATTGTAAATTCGAACAGTCACTAAACGAACTATTATAAGTCAAGGACTACCTGTACTGAATATTTATGATGGTCTTTGGTTATAAGCAATAACATCAGTAAAATTGATACAGAGATTGTAGCCAATTATTGAATTACTGTAAATCCTTATAGTCACAGTAGCTGGCGTGGTCTTTGATTTTAAATTCCAAATCCTCAAGTCATTATCAAAATGACAAAGTACTACTTTGAAAGTACTTTCACTTTCAGAAGTCTTTAGGTATGCGGTACAAAATGGAGGGGATATTTGAGAATCACTACTGCCTGATGCTTTAATCCCAGTTTCAATAATACCAGACAGGAATTACTACTATTAAGATATGGGTACTGTACCACATTTTATTTTTTTTTCTCTAAAGTGTCAGGATATAGTTATTTCAGACATTAATCTTATGCATTTCTGATTTCAGTTCTTTGATTAATTCTGTTTCCCCTTAAGTACTTATTAAATACTTATGATTGTAAAATTAGAAAATTAATAACATATTTATAAGAAAAAAGAATGTATTTAGAGAGTGCTGAAAATGTATTTAATTTTTCCCAAAACTTCATAAAAAATAGCATTTCGTTCTACCTTTCAATATTTCCAGAAATGTTACATACTTATTGCTAATTGTTTTGCGCTGTATCTGATGCAAAATATCATCCAAAAATCATACCTCAGTGAGATTATGCTGTTGTAAAGATTTCAATTCATAGGGATCCACATATAATCCTCTTGGGAGATGTACTTTAATTGCCAGCTTGCAACTTTTAAGGTCTTCATCAGCTATACCAAAATCTACCCTAATCAAGAGATCTCTAACACAAACAAGAAAACAAAGAAAAAGGATTTTAATAGACTTGCGGAGAATACAAACAATTTCCAAACATACCAGTTATATATCACTGTATAAAGAACTTTTAAATATTGTAAATCTGCAATTGTAAATTTAATCAGCAGGTTTTTTTCTAAAAATATGTATATATTGTTTTAATGTTTTTAATGTAAATAGCTTCAAGTCACCTTTGGCTAGATGGCTGGCTCAGGAATTCAGGGAGTTGAAGTCCACCAGTCATAAAAGAGCCAAGGTTGCCTACCCCTGATCTAAACTCACATCACAGAAATTAATGTAAATGCCTTGACCTAAAGCTGAGATTAAGTCGCAGCCCAATTAATTTTACATTACTTGAATGTAACTACTACATAACTAGATGTATGTAGACTGAGCTCTATACATACCTATTGGACTAAGCAAACTGAATATACACTAATAAAGATTTATTAATATTACCAATTATCTCGCCTCATGTCCGTATATACCAGAAATGTATTTCAACATCATTCAGTTGCTCAGTTAACTGTTTATTAAAAGTACACATGCTTTTTGATCCAAAATCATGCTTTGATAACAAAAGAAAAATTTCTCATAATTTTAAGTATACAGGTTTAAAATGTAATTGAATTCATAGAATTACAATATTAAAGATTGATTAAAAGAAACTGTTCCTAGTCATGTAAAAGCTGCTTGAATAGCCAAGTAACATGTGTGCCCCATCTAAAAAAACTGAATAAAAGTGTATATGCCTATTGGATATAATTAGAAAAAAGCAAAAGTGATGGATTTAGGCCTTGCTGAAACACTGTTAAAATTCACCGATCAATATTTGTGATAACTGACCTATGAAAGCCATCTTTCAAAAGCTGTTGCGAGATTTCAGGACATGTGTTCTGTGCATCTATTAAAACCAGAAATTAAAACCAGAAAAGTCTTTACTGTTTTCAACAATAGGTGATCATTTATAAACAGCATAATACAGAATTCTAACACTTTCAAAATTTCAATATTCTTATGTCCTTAATCCAGAATGGAAATGAAATTATTGATATTGTAATAAATATAAAAAGACTTCTTTCTTGAAGTCAGACTGCAGTCCTTTAACTTAATGGATGCAAACTGTTTTAGTCCAGCCTATTGTAGAATGCAAAAATATCTTGTCCCCAAATTTCCAGCAGCCTGAACTTCCAATATAAATTAGAAGTTTTCTGGCTACACTGCCACATACCTCCCATAACAAGATAAGCCTGGTTCCATTCCTTTCAATATTCTAAAAGACCTGGTTTGTTAACAGGCCTGGGACTGCCAGAAAACTGGAGACGTACTTAGAGGGTTCCATTGTTGAAGTAGCTATTCTTATTCAGATTGTAACTTACATAAAAATTCAGGCATTATACATAGACTAAAAAATTTCAGAAAGGAGAGAATATCCCATTTGAAGGAACCCATTTTTCTTCTACTGGTACATTTCAAGATAAACCTGCAAGACCAAAAAAAAATAATCACATTATAACAAATGTACAGAATATTTTGCATAGTACAGATTATTTTGTTACATAACTATGAAAATGACAATAAGAATTAATTCCATGTAAGATAAGTTCTGTAGTTGTTCCTGTCTACTGGCTTTATAAAGTTTCAAAAATGTCCAGCACAGCATTTTAAACTTATAAGCTGGTGCATCTTAGCATACATATATTTATGACATCTCACACTGTATATATAAAATCATTTCTTATGTATATATACATCACAATTCAATCATGTACTCTTTATTTGTATACATGCAATAAAAGAAATGCTTTTGAATTTGGAAATTGACTCGTATCTTAAGAATGCTGATACAACTCATAATGTTTGAGTACAAAATCCATTGAAATCAAAGTTTCTTTGTAGAAAATAAACCTATTTTGCTAAGGACATTTTTAATCAATAAAATGGATTTGTCGTAAAAGATAGTCGTGCATAATCAACATTGGCTGTATTTGAAAATCTAAAATGTGGGTAATACTGGGGCAAGGCTTAGATCAGGGGTCTTCAAATGCTGGCTGAGGAATTCTGAGAGTTGAAATCCAAAAGTCATAAAAGGGCCAAGTTTGAAGACCCCTGGCTTAGATAGTACTTGGGTGAGAAAACACCAAGGAGTCCCAGACTATAGACTATACCAGAAGTTAAAAAAAAACAGAAAAAACAAAAGGCAATGATAAGCCATCTATATATCTAGTCATCATGTGCAAATTGAGTAGCCATATAAATCTGTTTAATATTGTTGCCAAAACAACACAGATATGTCCATGTTACCGGAAGTCAAACTCAACTCAAGGTGAGCTTTTACTAATACATATTTTCCAAAGGAGGAAAGGGCCATGCATCCTTCCATAGATCATTCCATAGATTATTCTCCCAAGTATTTATATGCACATCAAATAACCAAACTGAAACTATCAATAGAGTTATTGCCCAGTAGAAAAGTTCTTGAGAATCAGAAAGGCTGCAGTTGCAAAAATCTGGACATTTGTTAATACTAAGGGAACTCTAAGAAAAACAGAGTTCATGTGTTATGAAGCATAAACCAGGCAACTTTCTTTCATTTACTGTATTGAGTTTAAGTTAGATGTGCATCCCAACAGCTCCTATTTTTCTATAACAATATTTCTTATAGAAGAAAATATACGTAGCTCAGAGTTGAACTGCAGAGTCCTTGGTGCTCTCTGAGCTTGGTTGTTTGCTTGCAGATATTTTATTACCCAACTAGATAACATCAGTGCTAGTGCAGATGTTTTATTACCCAACTAGATAACATCAGTGCTAGTGAGTGTGAAGTTTGCTCCTTTTATATGTAATAGTTTCTCCTGACAGTGTTGGTGGGGGTGTGGTTTCCTTTGCTAGTTCCTTGATTAGGGTATTATTTTCTGCTTGAATGTTTATCTGATGTTGATTCCTGCTTATCTGGGTACTGGAGTGGAGGTGTCTATTGCTGGCCACTTTGTCTGAAAGCCAAGCTTCCAGGAATACCCTAGTATTTTGGGATTTGGCTTGGTCTAGGATGCTCAGTTTCCCAATTGAAACTGTGGCTGTATATGAGATTAAGGAGTTTTCTGTATATGAGATTAAGGAGTTTTCTGTATATGAGATTAAGGAGTTTTCATGTGTCTTTTGACACAGAAATAATCCAATTTACACCCCATTCAAAAGAGATAACACAATGCTAAGAAGGAAAAAAAAAAGATCAGAACACACCCACCAACCAGGGCAGGGCAAGCTACTTTATAAAGAAGGAACAAACATCACACTGACAAGCATTGATGTTATGTACTTGGGCACCGAAACATCTGCAAGCAAACAACCCAACTTAAAGAGCATCAAGGACTTCATAACAATCACTCTGTGAGGTACAAAAGTATGACTGGCCACTTAGTTTCCATGGCACAGAGTCCACTAGAATCTGGTCTTCCTGGTGCCAGTGCAACACTATACTAGATACACTGCTGTGTGAACCTATCAAATGCGAACTTTATACTTCAGTAAGCGAACTAGGTCAGCTTAATTGTTAACTCGTGATAAAGTTAACCAGGGAAAAGTCTGAAATGCAACTAAACCCAAAGTAAAGAATTGCCACAAGCACAGTACAGTATCAAAATAGACAACCTAGTTTATTAGTCTGCTCAGCCTACGCCCTCTAGTCCCTCCGACAAGTGAGGGAAGGAGAAACTTCCTGACAGTGAGGACAATTAACCAGTGGAATAGCTTGCCCCCAGAAATCTTGGGCGCTCCATCACTGGAGATTTTTAAGAAGAGGCTAGACTGTCACTTGTCTGAGACAGTATAGGTTCTCCTGCTTGGGCTGGACTAGAAGGCCTCCAAGGTCCCTTCCAGCTATATTCTATTCTAAGAGGCAGCGGAGGGAAAGCACTTTATCTACTCTTTCCTTTTCAACAAAATAACGCAACCTCAACATTACTGTACAACCCTCCATACTTCTTACAGGCCTTCTCCTTTCCGTTTATAACTAAGACTCCTTCTTAGGTCTGTCCCACTTCCGCCAGACTGAAAAACACACAGCAGATAAATTATGTACTGTAACGTTTGTCTCCCGCTACCCAAATAACCCACGGAGAACTGGAAAAGGCAAAAGCGGCTTGTAAAGGCTAATCCAGATGTCGCCACAAATCTTTGCGAGTTTTCTTTCATCACAGGCCAATTCTTAAGACACCAATGCCGAGGACCAGATGCAGTAGCTACGCCCTTCTGCATTTAAAGTGATGAGGGGAGAAAATTGGTCTAAGCGAGGGAAGGGAAAAGGAAGAGCGATGTCCGTGGGATGAGATAACTGCTGCATCTTTTAAGGCAGTGTTTCTCAACCTTGACAATTTTAAGGCATGTGGACTTCAACTCCCAGAATTCCACAGCCAGCAATGCTGGCTGTGGAATTCTGGGAGTTGAAGTCCACATGCCTTAAAATTGTCAAGGTTGAGAAACACTGTTTTAAGGGCTAGCCCAGGGGTAGTCAACCTTGGCTCTTTTATGACTCGTGGACTTCAATTCCCAGAATTCCTGAGCCAGCACAGCTGACTCAGGAATTCTGGGAGTTGAAGTCCACGAGTCATAAAAGAGCCAAGGTTGACTACCCTTGGGCTAGCAGATTCTGCTGCTTTGAGTTAACCCAGCTGTTGAATGCAATAAAAATTACAGTAATATCAAATCTATTTTTTTTTTAATCTACAGCTGGGCAACGCTATTAGGACCAACCCAAAGGGCACAAACTGCTAATGATATACAAGCTTTTGAACATTAGAGAACCTCTTCTGTGTCTGAAGAGTTGTGGAGCTTAAAAACCTGCTCGTTCCTTCACACCGTCTAGGACGGTGATCCGCATCAAAGTACCCGGAAGCGATTTCGTTTGGGCTCCTAAAGGAGTCTCAAAGTTAGACACACACCCCCCATCCGCCCAAACAACAACTGAACGCGGAACTGGCGTTCGCAACAACAACAACAAAAGAACGCCGCGTGTCTTCGAGCACCTGCAAACGAATTCCTGCCGCGATCAAATGGTCGTAATTTGCTCCTCCCAGCTGCGATTCTTGGCCCGGGGGAGAGGGGGACGGGGGCGCTCCAGGCTCGGCGTTATCTTCACAGGGAGAGCCGCGTATCCCGAAACGATTTCAAAAAGCAGAGCCAGAGGTTGCAATCCACAGGGGCGGCTGTAGCGGAAGCGGGGCTGAGCTACGGCCGGATCGGCGAGTCAACCAAGTCAAGAGTGGAACCATCCGCCTTGAAGAGCGCCTTCTTTCGAGCAGCCAATCACCCTATGGCCCAGGGGTAGGCAACCTTGGCTCTTTTATGACTCGTGGACTTCAACTCCCAGAATTCCTGAGCCAGCCATGTTGGCTCAGGAATTCTGGGAGTTGAAGTCCACGAGTCATAAAAGAAGCCAAGGTTGCCTACCCCTGCCCTATGCCCACCGCGGATCTGGCTGGCTTGACTGCGTCCTCCTCCTCCTCCTCCTCCTCCTGGCTACGAGGCATCCTATCCTACTCTCTTTTGCGCCCCTGGGCCGCGCGCTTGCCCTTCCTCGTCTCCACGGAAGAAGAGCAGGCCGCAGTTTTGATTAATAGCCTGACAATAGGGTAGAAAATTGCCACTTCGAGCAGTGTAGCTGAGACCCCCGTGGGAAGGCTTCAGCTTGCGGGCCTGGCCTCTTTCTTAACTTCCCGACGAACGACGCCACGCGGAGCGCTCCAGTAAACCGCCGAAAGTCGCGCGGTGCTCCTTTTAAGTGCAGCGCTGCCTTATCTCGAGAATAGGTCTCCCAGAAGAAAACGAAATGGCTGGGATCTCTCCTCGCTGACATTACAGCAGAGGTTGGGATGTCTTATGTTGCCAAAAAGTGTGGCATCCAGTTGCAGCCCCCATCTATCGTTTTGATCTATGAAGACCCGTTTAAGCAGAATCTGCGCAAGCGCATCATGCCTATCCGGAATTTTACCAAATTCTCAGGTACAATATGATATATTTCAAACTTTATTTTCCAAAGCGCCTGGAGGCAGGACAAGAAGCAACGGGTGGAAACTAATCAAGGAGAGAAGCAATCTAGAACTAAGGAGAAACTTCCTGACAGTGAGAACAATTAACCAGTGGAACAACCTGCCTCCAGAAGCGGTAAATGCTCCAACACTGGAAGTTTTTAAGAAGAGACTGGACAGCCATTTGTCCGAAATGGTNATACTCCCCTCCTTAAAGAACAAAGGGCTACACATTGAAATACACACTGTGATACATTCGGAACGTTTCTCACAGGCATAGAATGGAAGGTTTTGCTACATACAAAGTATCCATGTGCAGAGCGCATTTGGTTGCCACATATTACTGACAGAGAACTTTCCCAGTGAATTTTCCCAGTGATTATGCATTACATCATTGTCCTAGCAATTATGCAGACACATCATTATTGCAGTTATGCAGACAAATCATTATTCTAATAATTGTTCAATTTTACTATATTATTATATTATTATTATTATTATCATCATCATCATCATCATCATCATCATCACTGGTATTTTCTCACGCATATATCGTGTTCAGAACCCCTTTTTTCTGCATTTATTTGGGAATGGATTTTGTTTCATTGAGTTCCGATACTTTGCTCACTTCATTTTATAAATTTGATTGTATTAGCTATATTTATAAGAGACAGATATATTAAGACACTGTTCACACTGTACATAGCACGATCCTATTTCTAAAAGAAATTAGTTGTTTAAATTTGTAGAGCATTGGGATTGACCTAGCTTATTCTCAATACATCCAGGCCATTAATTCTAAAAGTTTGGGAAAGATGCTTCGTGGAACAACTGTCTGAATTTGTTGTTAAAGATTTTGCCATGTCATATCTTTTCAAAGCCATAGGTCTGTTGCTGTAAGGACTTCCCATGGGCCTGTTCACTTTATCAATAATCCTAATTTTGACATCTTTGCTTTACAAAACATTGAATATTTACAAAATATTGAAATAATTCAAGAATTCTGCCAAATTTATGTTGTATCAATGTAACTCTTAAAGTATGCTGCCATGGCCATGTGTTATAAACACAAATGGTTAAAAGAAAATATGTTTTAAGTTTGTTTTATTTAAAGCCTTTCTAATGCACATTTCCAAAATTACTTTAGAGATTTTTAAAACTATAATCATTATTTTGACCTTTCATACAGACTGCAGCAGAGCGGCAGAGCAGCTGAAGAATAATCCTCGGCACAAGACATATTTAGAAGGGGTATCATTGGAGCAGCTAAAAAAGTTACACAATTTGTTGAGATGCCACCTTCAAGGACAAACTTTGAGTCAGAGTTTGAAAAAAGTTGAGCAGAATGAAACCGTTGATCCAGAAGAGGATCTAAATAAACTGAATGATGAAGAGCTAGCCCAAAGGAAAAGAATCATGGATGAATTGTTTGAAAAGAACAGAAAAAGAAAAGAGGACCCAGATTTTATCTACAATGTAGAGGTGGAATTTCCACAAGATAAGGAGCTTGAAGCTTGTGAGTGGGATACAGAAACAGAGGATGAATTTTAATGCAAAACTAAGCTTATGGGGACTTTTAGGGACTATTTATAAATTACATATACTTTGTTTTAGTAACAATATTTGACTAAAGTTATCAATGAAAAGTAGCATTGTGTACTGTCAAAATGATTGACATTTTTCTTTGCTTGGCATTTAAAAATATTCTGAAATATTCATATTAAAATAATATGCAAAAATGTGTGTATAGAGCATGAATGTCTTGAGTAGAAAATCTGTATTGGTTCTTGTATTGGTATGGGAAATATCCATTAAGTAAACATTGACAAACTTTATGCAGACAGGCACTGGAATAGCAGCTACCATTATGTCTATTGCACAAGCACAAAATGGCACCTATTATGCTTGTGAACTGACAAAGTGCATGATCCAACACAATATTCCTGAAATGCAACCTTGCTTAACCCAGAAACTAAGCAAAACTGGTGAAAACAAAAGGAAATGTGTCACTAGAGAACCAACTGTATATGAAAGCACATGTCCTACAAACATTCATATTCATAGACATGTTTGCAGAAGCCGTTGAATTGTATCAATGGGGTAGAACTTATTTGGCAAGATCTATTGTGAGAAATACAGATTTAAAAAGGCTTCCTCATCCAGGAATTTTCTAAATAAAGGAAATATCTAGAGTAAATATTCAGAAGAACTAAAATCAATTTTTAAAAATAGTTCATTCTTAAAACGCAATTCTTCCACCTCTGCCATAAACTTTTGCTTCAGGGATTAAGTCTTTCAGAAGTTGAACTTCCATTTCTGACATCGATATTGAATAAGTTTTGGGCAGATTCAAATTCCTCATCCATACCTTAAGTGAAGAAGGAGCAACCCATTTCAGGACATAATATGATTTTTGAGTTAGAATTTTCACTTAGAGGAAGGGGACCCCATTAAAGCATTATTGGACCCCAAAAGCAACTTTTAGTATTTTAGAAGTGATTTCCATTATAAAATTATACTCATGTCAGCTGGAAGGAAAGAACATTCTTAACTGTTTGCCCTAGCAGTTCCCTATGTTGGCAGAAATGAAGTGAGCACATCCACCAACTTCCTTCCGTCATGTGAATACCTTGAGGCTAGCTGCTAGATGGTGAGAGTTACTCATAATGACACAAGGAAACTGCAATATACATGCACAAACAATTTTGTGGTGGGAAAGGCAGGTGTTTTTTGTCCACAAATAATTTATATTGGGATTAAAAATACTGTACTTATATGGAAGAAACTAATTTTAAGTACCAAAAATATGACCCATAGAATTCTCAGCCATCTTACATGTTAACTTTTTTTAAAAAAATGGCTTATAATAACCAAATAGATCCTTTTTAAGAAAAGAATTGGGGCTTAAGTACTTTGGCCATATGTATATAAATATATATCTTTGTAGGTTATTAATGTAGGTATTTAGCAAATGGTCTGTTAGTAATGATATGTATTCAAGATATTTTTTAAAAAAAATTCCAGCATTTGTTCTCCAGAGGGCAGTATTTTCTCATTTAAAAATCTGGGGCAAATTTTTGCACTTAAAAAGAATTTCTATGTTATTTATCAAAATATAGTTTGGGATATAAAGTAATTTGGGAATAGGTTTTATTATTGTATTTAAGAATTGTATATTCTGATGTCTAACAAACAGCAATAAATACATTTTAGTGACATTTTCTTGGTCTGACAAGAGATTTTTTCTAAGGAATATCAGCAATTCCTGATATTACAAGATATGATTTAGGTGATCAGCCCCTGTTTAATGCAAGAAACCCGAATAATCAAGCATCTTTTACAAAATGGATCTCCCGTAAAGCACAGCTTTAACCTTCAACTTAAATTTAACTTAAATTTATATTTTCTGTAGATTTGACTGCATTTTCTCCATTTGGAATAAAGCAAGGTTTAACTCTATCCTTTTTTATTATTATTATCAAAGCACTGGGATAGATTATACGTACATTGGTTCCAAGTAAGTTACTAGATATATGGTGATGATAGGAATATAACTCCATACAGTACCCTCTCTGGATGGTGCCCTCTGACAGTGTTCATTAAAGTAGTTAAGAAAGCACTTTTTTGCAGAGCTTTTAATTCATTGTAAAGGCTGTTGCTGGACCATGGGTATTTCAATTTATGATTTTATCAATCATATTTGTGCTAGATACATGTGTCATTGATTTTGATGGTTTATTGTAAACTTGTAAACAGTCTTAGAATACAACAGTAATTAAAAGACATAAATAACTGGAAATATTTGTTTAAGTTGTTTGAAGAAAAATACAACTTTATTCAGGCTAAACCTAATGGGAATTATGCCAATTTGGTTGTGGTTTTAAGTATTTAAAAGTTTAATGTGATAACACGACTATCTTTGAAACACTCAAAATGTCTATATGCAATCATGTAAAGTCATACTTATGTTTGATTGAATAAGCCACAAATGAATGCTCTGCACGTGATTTGCAAACTACAGTGACTGGGTAAAGTAAGCCAGCATCCAAACAAATCAATTTATGATGTAATGCAGAGTGTAAGCCCAGCCACAATATCAATTATTTGTTTCTCTTCTTTAGTACTGGATTCTCAGATATTCTAGAAATGCAGTACATGAAACAGTAATAACACTGTGGTAAAAAGCAGCTACAGCATTAAAGAGTGAAGACAAAAACCACTGAGGACAAAAAACTGTTGAGGTCTGGAAACTGGAAGCAGCCCTTTGAGGTTAGCCAATGCAAAAAGGACAAGTTTAATTTGGTGAATGTTATCTCTGTACAAAACACACTTGAACAGTTGTGTAGCAGTATAGTCTGTTCTTGAAACTAAAGATCTGTGGCAAAAGGTAAGGGACATAAAGTGTTAATAGTGTTAGGCATTAATGCACAAGACTCATTTGAATGTGGTAATGCAAATCAACCCATCCCATCTCTACAATAAGAAGCCTTCATTCTCATTTTCACCACAAATGGTCTGGGTACAAAGTATGTGAATGCACACAAAGTCATAATGATTCTGGTGAATGCTATGTTTTTTGTACAGCTTTGTGAAGAATTTGAAATCTGAGTTGTGTTCTCTTCCATTAAATACAGCTATTGTTTCTTGTAAAATATCCTCTGCTCACTGCTGAAAATAGGCTATACAGATTTCATGGAATATATTTAATTGAATTAATTGTACTATAGCATCTTCTATAAGTAATTTCCATTAATAGTAATCTAAGACTTTAAAAGCTAACTGGGTTAGCAAAAGTATAATACTAATTATAATAGTAATACTACTTGCCCTTCTTTGCACACCACTCTTGATTCTATGATATTCTCATTAGGTAAATGTCTTTATAATTTCTGTAATATCCCACTCCTCAATTGCCATATCACACCATTAGCTATGTAATAATCTTCTCCATAGTGCTGACTTTTGACATTCATTCATATATTATATCTGAAAACTACCCAACTCGCAGCTATTCTGGGCAATTCACACAGGAATTAAAAATACAGGTGAAAAAATATAACAATAAGGACAAAGGTACACAAGATGGTACAAAAAGCATAACACATACTCAGAGGCTGCAGTCTCTCTAGTCAAAAGAAGAACCAGGACTTGAAGGCCTTCCAAAGTGCCTGTAGGTGTGAATCCCCCAGTGCATTCCTCTCAATTAAAGCTCATTCCAGTGGACAAGCATAAAGAAATATAACTTGTTTCCAAAATTTTACCCCTCTTACAGACATACATGCATAATGTACAGCAGAAGGAAGCAAAAGATTGAGAAATTCAGATGAGGAATTAAATGCAAGGCAGAACCGTACCACTAATAACAGCAAATGCATCATTTCATTTCTCTACAATGAATCTTGTTGAAGGGTCCAAAAGTGTTTTTAACCATTTAGATAATCTCCAAGCCAAATCCCAAGAACCTGCAACCATTAGATCTCAGGCGGAGATTAGTCTTGATAACTAAGAGCACAATAAGCTATAAAGTTAGAGCAAGGGGCAAGCAAAGAATTATCTGCAGTGGTTCCATCTAAATGATTCAGCAGCTCCCTTCACAAATCATTTCTTATCACTTGCCTTATAGTTTACTAGCTGTACCCGGCCACGCTTTGCTGTGGCTCAGACATAAATGTTTTTACCTGTCACAGGTGTGACATCTATATAATAGTAGGTATATAAAAACACGCGTGTATTCGAATGCAACATTGTGTCAAAATTTCAAAGCAATCGGTGAAGAACTTTCGGAGATTTAAGATTTTGAACAAACGAACATTTACATTTTTATTTATATAGATATGGTTTTTCAGTAGTGTATTTGATTAGATAAAAGATAAAGTTTATTCCCTTTTTTTCCCTGACATCCTTCTGATTTTTGTTAGGCAATGCCAGATTCAGTACTCAGAACTAAAGTTGATTTTACTCAAACCAGCCAGTTAATCTTTCTTGTTCTTGTATGTGGTAAAACAAATTTGCACATCTGTTTTACAAGAAAAAAAATAGTTCAAAGTATTGTTATTCTTCTGAAGAAAAATCATTACTTTTCAGTTGCATTATTTCACAGTTACTAAGAAATGGGTAAAGTCAAGAAAAAAACATCATTTTTTTCTCTTTTGCTTGTACTAGGAGTTATATCTTAGTAATGGGAAACATGACTCTATATTTCAGAAATAAAAGATGAACTAAGATGCATCTACGCATCTTCAGGATGTGTATTCATCAGAATAAGAGTTGAGGTTTACTCAGCATGTGGTTTCCCGGCAAACAACCCTCTACCACAGGAAGGCCTCAAAAAGGCAACATAGATCCATATTTACTGAATAACTGCTTATTTTTTTTCCTCAAACAATGACAGTTTAATTCTTTGCCACAATACCAACTCTGGCATTATGGCACAATCTGAAAAGTCTCACAAAAAACACGTATACTGTAAACCTATCTGTTCTTAATTTGATAATCTTCATAAGGCAGGCTTTAGATTTCTTTTAAAATTGCTATTTTAAGTTCTGAATTCTGGACCCATTTGGCTAAATAGATGATTGTATTTTTCAGCTGGGACAAACCTTACTAAATAAGCAGTTCTTTCACATTTTTCTTGTCTACTTTGCAGTTCCGTTGCTGCAGTCATATTTATTTATTTATTTGATTTATATAGCCTTCTAAATCACGTACATGAATCTAGGCAGCTGA